ACCAAATTGCCACCCATGTTGATTTTCAAAAGGAAAACATTTCCAAAAGAAGTGATTCCGCGAGGAGTTGTTGTACATGTACATGAGAAAGGATGGATGGATGAAAATGGAATGAGAATATGGGTTGAAAAGGTCTGGTCCAAACGTCCTGGAGGACTTCTGAAAAAACCTGCCTTATTAGTGCTTGACCATTTTAGAGCACATATTAGCGAACCAATAAAAAAATGTTTCAAAGAAGTGAAGACTCATCTAGCTGTAATTCCCGGAGGTCTTACCAGCCAGTTGCAACCTCTTGATGTTTCCATCAACAAGCCATTTAAGGTCTTAATGAGAGAAGAGTGGAACAAATGGATGACTGCTGGTAATCATGATCTGACACCTACTGGACGAATGAAGAGGCCCACCATCACTCAAGTTTGTGAATGGGTGAAAACATCTTGGGACTCAGTGAAGGAGGAGATTGTTGTACAGTCATTCAAAAAATGTGGCATTAGCAATGCCTTAGATGGAACTGAGGACGATATCTTATATGAAGACAGCGAAGAAAGTGATGTCAGTGATTGTGAGCAAATGAGCTTCCTAAATTCTGACTCTAGTGATGGTGAGTTCTTGGGGTTTCCAGAAAACTAGAGTACACAAAGCTTTAAGTCTCTCCATTTATTAATGACAGTGGTAATGGTTCTTAATGCCACCGCTGAATGCTGTTCACTTTACATGGTTCAAATGTTATTCTGTTATAGTTTATTAAATATTTTATTACAATATTTGGTTCAGAATATTTTTTTCCAGTTTCCCTCCTCTAAAAATTAGGTGCGTCTTAAGTTCCGGAGCGTCTTATGGAGCGAAGGTAAACTGTAAGCTGCCCAGAGACCTTTGGGTAGTGTGGGCGGCAAAAAAAGAGGAAAACCAAATTTGAGATGGACTGACTCCTTAAAAGAGGCAGTGGCAAGAGCTGAGCAGAGCTGTTGAGGACATTTTAGACAGCACTCATTCGTAAGGTTGCCATGAGTCAGATGCAACTTGATGGCATATAACAACATAATTATGTTGGAGTCAATGTTCCCTAATTTTTGGCTTTGCTCCTCACATGTACGATTTCACACACACACACCCCACAGTTCTGTAATCATGCCACATATGTAAAAGAAATTCCTATTATTTTTGTTTCTTAAAAGTGGTGCTGAAACTGCAGATTAAAGAGAGAAGCATATGCGAAGAAGCACCAAATACCGTATTTTTCGCTCCATAAGACGCACGCACGTTTCCCACCAGTTTTTTTGGGAGAGAAAGTGCGTCTTATGGTGCAAAAAATACGGTAACATGCAAAAAAGGGAAGCAATGGAAACAGTATTTAAAACTATTTGCCTTCCCAAGCTGACTTCTTTACCCCACCTCTCTCCTGTAAGTATTTATTGATGAAAATTCAGCACAGTCCTAATGTGAAATAAAAATGTTTGCCAGCACCACTCGGATGCTTCTTGTACTTAATGCCTCAAAGTCATTATGCAGACTAAAGGGCGAGTTCAATTACATCATACACTGTTACTATGGAAATAACTGATGTCATAAATTCAATATTATGACTTAACAGTAGGTTTAAGTAGGAGGAACAGATGGGCTGATTGAGAGAAAACCCTTGTTCAAACATAACTGTCACCAGTAGGAGTCTCATTACTGCCAAGTGTAATTAATAAATTCTTTATTTTTCAAAATAATTTTCACAGTTTACACAAGATCAAAATCTTTAACAAAATGGTTTCAAAGCACTGTACAACAGGAGTGGTTCTCATTTGTTGGTCTTACACAGTTCTAGGCACTTTAGCCACCCAAAGCATTATGTTAATGGCTATGCATACTCTGAAGTACTGCAGTGCTGCTGAAGATGAGATCATCACCATCATTGTTAGTTTTCAAAATTGCAAATATCAGGCTTGTTAATATAATCACTCAGCTGGTTACCTGAGGCAATCAAGAAACCACTTCTCAGCAAATCAGGCAGGGAAGCATTTGCAATTTAGTAGACCGTTTGGGCTTTTCTGTTTGTTTTTCTTTTAGGCTTGGAGTCTCATAAATGACTAGGCATAAATGGAAAGGCAAGACAGTGACATGTATCAACCTCCTGGGAAACATGTTTTAAATTATACATGCAAATCTAAATTACACATGCACAAGTAAATGTGCAAATGTATGACCTGCAGCAATGGTGGCTCTGCTCTCATGCCACATTGTCTGGGCAGCTGTTGGGTGTAGTCTCCCCACCCAGGAAGAAGATGGACCAATGATGGACGTTGCAGGCATCACCATCATGTTGCTGAAGTATAATCTGTCTGGCCGTTGATGCCAGCTGCTTTGGAATTTTCAAGCAAAGGGGTTTGGAGTGCTCCGCTTAATAACTTCAGCCAGCCAATCCGTCTTCTATGATTCCATTCCATTCTTGTTGCCATCTGATTCTCTGTATCTTTCTCTCTTTCTCTTTCCCTCGAATACATACATTTCCAGGCACTAAGAGCACTCATTCCTCACTGGGTTGTTTTGATATTTACCCCCACTTTAGGTTTTACGACCAGCCAATCACTCAAAAGTGGAAAGCCCACCCACTCCCTGAATAAAATAGCAGAATAAAAAACATACACGAAACTCCTCTGCCAAAGCCCAAGAGATTTCCCTTCCAAATACCACATGATGCCTTCTCTTCTCTTCTTTGTCCAGCAGACAAGCAGCAGACAAAACCAAATATAATCCAAGAAAGGAAGGGAACCGCCACCACTACCCCCAGAAAAGTGTGTGTGTGTGTGGGGGGGAATCTTGTAAAGATATTTATTGGGGGGGGAATGTAAGTAAGTAAGTAAGTAAGTAAGTAAGTAAGTAAGTAAGTAAGTAAGTAAACCAACCAATCCAAGAAAACACACTGGGACATGCAGGCTGCCTGGCAGCAACAAAATAAATCCAAAAGGGGGGGAGTTGGATCCTGCAAAACCTCAAGAAAATCAAGGCAAAAAAGTGAAAGGATCCAAGATGGAAACAGGCAAGCAGACAGCAAACTATGAAAGAGGACACCAGGATATCAGCACATAACAATAGTACAAAAGGAAAGACTGAAGCAAAATGAGCACTCATCGCTGGCTTCCAGGCCATTTTACTGATTCAAAATTCTGGAAGTTCTGATTGGCTGCTGACAGCCCTCATGACACTATTGAATGTAGAATATCTCAGGTGGTTTGAAAGACAAAAGGGCACTTAAAGGTTACACCAAAGAGGGAACATGAAAGAAACATGAACTGTCTTTGCACTTTTGTAAACACAAATCATTTGTGTTTTTAGAAGCTGTATTTCAGCACTCACTCGCTGCAAGAACCCAAACTTGAGAACTTAAACATGAAAGGTCCATCCTCACCAACCACCATGCATGCATGGACCATGTTATGCTACAGCCTTGTGCACAGTTACTCGAGAACAAATTCTATGGAACTCAATCAAAGTTACTCCAAATAAGCATCTGAAGTATTGTACAGTATTGTGAGGCTGTGACTGATGACATGAAGATTGTATTTCAGCAGTCTAGTGCCAATGTGTCTACGCTATTCATGATCTCAACCAATATACAGTTATCTTAGTTATGTTTACCACAGCAAAGTATAGTAATTTAAAAGTCTAATATTTGAACAAGCATAAAAGAGACAAAGATATTTATGTCCAATAGCCACTGTATACAATTCTTTGTTATTTCTAAACTAGAGAAAATGCTAGCAAGAATGGGTACTTCTGATAATGTATACTGCCCCATTAGTGCAAAAGCACTATTCTGGGCAGTTAACAACAGGTTAAAACCAATATCAAAACAAACAAATGTTTAAAACAATATAAAAATCAGGAACTAGAGAAAATGCTAGCAAGAATGGGTGCTTCTGATAATGTATGCTGCCCCATTAGTGCAAAAGCACTATTCTGGGCAGTTAACAACAGGTTAAAACCAGTATCAAAACAAACAAATATTTAAAACAATATAAAAATCAGGTGGCACCAAAACAATTTACAGAAGCGGCAGGACAGGAGATTAATGAAAAATCAACCTGGGTTGGTACAAAAAGCCTCCCTAGAAAGAAAAGTCTTTAGTTTACTTCTTAGTAACAAAAGGGAGGGAGTCAGGCATAGCTCCTCCAGAAGCTGACTCTGAAAGGTTGGGGCCACTGCGGAGACAGCCCTGCCTCTAGTGGAAGACTTTCGGACCTCCCTCAGGATGGCCACCCGGAGGAGCCTGGTCTCGGAGGATCTGGTGAGTCAGGCAGATGAAACTGGGGTCAGACACTCCAACAAGTAACATGGTCCTAAACTGTGGAGCACTTTATATGCAAGAGTCAAAACCTTCAACATGATCCAGGATACAACAGGTATCTTACTGACAAGGTTTGTGAGCTCTGCAATATATGATGTGGCCTTGCTAGTACAATGAATGGGGAAAACAGAGGCTTAATTAAGAAACTGCAGATGAAGTGGCACAGAGAAAAGAGCAGCAGCCAATGTGGAAGAATATTACAGCACATGAATTATGTTCTTTAGTGGTATTAGGAGACAGAGCTTGCAAAAGCTAAATTTTTGGACAACTCTTACGATTTTCCAGGACCCCCTGGTCAGTGGCCAGATTAGGAGAGTATGAAACTTGTAATAATAATAAAGACTTCTCTAGTACAGGATAGATGATCCAGGTCTGTTGAAGCTATGGAAAACACCTGCAATTTAACAGCCTGAAACCAGTCAAGTTGGAGAAGGGGCACAGCTGTTTAGAAGAGATTTTTGTAACTATGAAAAGGCTCCAAATGGACAACACTTATTTAGATGAAAGGAGATGCTTCCACAAGTAGTGAAAATGTGCATCACAATATATGCTTTTTCTTATGCACATACTTTGAATTTAGCATGGAAGATACACAGGGGCTTACTAAAGAGCCATCTCCGAAAAATTTCACTTTTAGAGGGGAAACACGTTACACATTCCCTGCTTAACATCTAGTTTAGGCAAAAGAATAAACACTGCTGTATGTGGCTAGAGAAATGTTCCGTTTGAAGTACTGAACAGTCTACTAGCATAAGTCTTAATAAATGCAAAGAAGACTTGACAAAGGTATTCATTTCTTTAGATGGGCAAAAATTAGAAGCACAAATATGCACTCATATTGTGATAACTACTGTGATCCACAAAACCATATTCAAATGTAAGAACTATGGATGTCAACAAGGCTAAATGATGTTCTGCACATATGCTGATTTACAACTACTTCAAAAGACTCCCTGAAGAACTCTATAGATCTACAAAATTTCACCATACAATATAAAAGTTAGTTATATAACAGAACCAAACATTCTTATTTTTTATTTTTGCTTTTGTTTGGATAAGCTTATAAAGAATTTGTCTATTTCTTTAAACACTTCAACAGATTGTTATTGTCTTCACTGGAGATTCAATGTGATCGTATGTAACAGTATCCTGAACACCTCCATAGTTCTAGCAGTGTAGCTGCTAAAGCTGAGATAATACTCAGCACAACAGCATTTTAGCACATTCTTTAAATCTTGTTATGTGCACTCTGGGGTACATTTCTTAGAAATCCACCATACAGAAATATGACCATTAAAAAACATTAACATCAAAATAAGCTACTTACCTGTCAAGGTGAGACATTACAGTTTTTGAGATATCACCCCCAGCTTCCTGAAAAATTCGAATGATCTGAAAAGGTGAATTACTATTTCTGCCAGGATGAATTATGACAGGACAACCAAGATGGGACTGAGCATGTGCTGTAGCCTGAAGTACTTTATTTTCACTTTCCGTCAGAGGCCAAGAGCACCCAATTTCTCCTATAACACCACACTTGATGTTGGTTCCATCTGCTCCATTGAGAACTTCATTAACAATAATCTCTGTCAACTGAAGAAAATAAATATTCTTTTTGGTAAAATATCTTTTTTGTACCATTGTATCAGTTTAAATGAATCAATATAATCTGGAGAAAGGAGTGCCCCACCTTCCTCTTATTGATCAAACAAGTACTCCAATTTCCAGATCAACAGCAGAATTACTGAATTGCCTGCTACAAAAGATAAAGCAATCATTTATAAAATATATTATGCCTCCAGGGGAATACAGTAATTCTGTACAGTAATTCTGACAAACGGATACTGTTATTCATTAGTATAGGGTGAAGTTTATTGGGTGGGTTAAATATAACTTTTGGATAATCCCGCAGTAAAATTATAGCTTAAAAACTGCTCATTCTCATCCAGTCTGAAGGCGATTTCTTTATTCTTGGTCTGTTGTTGTTAATAAAAGTTTAATAGGTTGCGTTGTTATATAAAGGAATTCAAGAACCTGCAATATCTGGTTTGGATTTTCTCCCCTAAAAGTTAATTGCAGGTATGATTATATGTAAAGTATTTAGCTCTGGATAGGTCCACAGAAAACTAACATTAGTTTTACAGTAAGTGGCCATGATGGACACAGGCTACTAGAAATTTCTCCTGAACAGGAAGAGGTCTCCGAATGCATGCATCTGTTCCTCCCCTCATTCTGCTCTAAGTGCTTTGGTATTGCAAATAAAATCTCAAATCAATAATATTTCTAAAGGAAATATGTACATGCAAGAGCAATTAAACATATCCCTCCTTGGGGCATTTTGCTTTGCACAACCAGCTGCACTACTGGTAAAAGTGCAAAACAGTCCTTGACTGTTTGTGCAAAGGAGAACCTGCCAGAGGGCGAAAAACATACAATTGCCCTTAAATAATCATGTAAGTGAACAAAATTCCAGTCTAAGAAACAGCAGTATCTTACAAGTGGAAGAACAGAAGTAAGTTATTTACTTCACTCATATCAGTGTTTTTGTTTTTTGGACACACTTCAGTTTACCACTATCATGATCCACAGACACCCAAATGCTAAATAATACTATTTATTTTGCAAAAACAAATGGGATAAATTTAAAATTGTATTATGGGAGATGGGCAATCTCTTTTTCCCAACTACAGAATGGATCCTTTCCATCCATGTTAGAGAGCTAGATAATAAAGTTTTCAGTTTTTTGATTCAATCCTAAATGGAAAGCCATTTCAAAGATACAGCATTTCATATACAGAAGACATCTGTGTATGAAAAAGTATGAAAAACAGACGCAGATTAAGCACTACATAAAGTCAATGGTTAAGGCATTTGGAGGACTGAAAAAGCTAAGCTTGACTGGGTGAAGTCATAGTAGTTACGTAAATTCATCTGATTCACACGTGAAATTCAGTTATTCAGTAAAGCTGACATTTAGTTTTGGGTGGAAACAATAATGGCTTAGATCCAGAGATACAATAGCATAAAATATTCTGGAGGGAATTATGTTCTACAACCTGTTGCAGAAGGCCTACTAGAGCTTATTGCGCAACAAAAACTGAGTGCAGACATGAATCTTAAATGTACAGTACTTGCACAATTGACTATGGAGAGATTTGGGTCAACTACAATATACTACTGGATCTCAGTTCCTTCTACCCGCAGAAGAGTCCTTCTATTACCAGAATGGCATCTCTGGATACGGCTCACTAAAACACATGTAGTATTATAGACAGTATGAGTTCCCAGTTTTGAAGCTTTTAATTTTAAACATGTTTAAATAACAATAACCATTACATTCCATCAATCAATTCTGACTTTTGGCAACTGTTTCCAGGGTTTTGCAAGGACAGAATACCCAGAAGTGGTTTACCAGCACTTCTTCTGAAGGGGCAGGCACTCTGGAACTGTGCAGCTTGCCCAAAGTTACACAAGCCGGGTTCTTCTTCAGGAGCCACAATAGGGAATTAAACTCCCAACTAGATACCTAACTCATTGAACAACAGTGGTACCTCAACTTACGAATCCGTATTGAAGCGACATTCGTATGTCGAAAAGTTTGTAAGTCAAAGTACCATTTCCCATTGAAATGCATGGGAATGGAATTAATCCAATCCAGAATTTCAAAAGGCAAAAAAGCAGGGGGGAAGGGGTGGAAATTCCAATTTCCCACCCTTTCTCCCTGCCTTTTTGGCTTTGGAAGGCTCAAACGGCTTCCTCCAATGTCTGGGGGAAAGCCCTTTGAGAGTTCTGAAGGGGCCGATTGCGGCAGCTGGGACCCCCAGGGAGATCTCCCAGGGCTTGCCCGCCACCATGGGGAGACCTCCCGGGGGGTCCCTGCCGCCGCGATGGGTGCCTTCAGAGCACTCAAAGGGTTTTCCCCTTGACATTGGAGGAAGTCCTTTGAGAGCTCTGGAGGTGCCAATCGCGGTGGCAGGGACCCCCAGGGAGGTCTCCCATGGTGGCAGGCAAGCCCTGGGGGACCTCCCTGGGGGTCCCCGCCGCCGCAGTCGGCCCCTTCGGAGGTCTCAAAGGGCTTTCCCCCAGACATTAGAGGAAGCCATTTGAGAGCTCCAAAGCCAAAAATGCAGGGAGAAAGGGTGGGAAATTCAAATTTCCAGCCCTTTCTCCCTGCCTTTTTGCAGGGAGCCATTTACGAATGGCTCTGTTGGCAAAAAAATGGCATTGACTTGCAAACGGGGCCTCGACCTTGTTTGTAGGTCAAGCTCCATTCGCAAGTCGATGCCAATTTTTGCCAACAGAGCCATTCGTAAATCGAAAAGTTCGTATCTAGGGACGTTCGGAAATCAAGGGTTGACTGTACTAACTCAATGAGCTACTCAGCCATCTAATCATGTTTAAAGCCAAGTAATATGTTTTGGCTACTCAAGACATTAACAGTGGAAGCATTCAGTTTTGTAAGTATATTTTGGTACCCACCTGCTCCACAGACATAGCCTGCATCTCGGGAGAATGGGTGGCACCCACATAAAAACCAGCTCCAGCAATAATATGGACTCCAGTTTCCTCAGCAAGCTGCTTCAGGGTCTTCACATCTCGGTGGATCCCAGTGGTTGTATTTTCCACTATGGTTCCCCCACCTGCTGCCTTGTAATGCAACAGCTCTTCCCTCACAGCATTTATCTCTTGACACAGGAGAAGATTTTCTTTGTGGCTGTAGGGATTCTGTTTAAGCCAAAACAAGTTCTTCATCTCAATAGGCTTTTCTGATAGTACTTCTTGTCCCAAAGGAGGTGGGTAGTAACAGCAACTGAAGTTCATTGTCAAGTGCTCATGGGTCATAGTTCTGCCAAGTTGACTAGGCTCCATAAGACCTAATACAGTCTGGACTTTACCCCTCAGCAAAGACATTTCGGCTTCTGTATTCTTGCAAGATGTACTCTAGGAAAACACGCCAAAATGTTGAAAAGCCAAATGCTAATTTTGTTGCACACATGAATGAACAGACTAAAGAAGATTTTAAAAGATGCTTCAGAAAGAAATTAAAAATATGTTGACACCTCATGTTCTTCCCATATGCATATGCTTACTAAATATTCTTGAAAGAACTGTCCCGCCTGTTTTATGAAGTTAAAATGATTTAGCAAGAAACGTATAAACTAAATGGTCTAATTCATAGAGAGCAGGGGTCTCCAAACTTTTGAGCATAAGGGCCACATTGTATATTTTACACATTTCTGAGGGCCAAAGGAACGTGTGCGTGTATGCACGGACACCCACCCACCCATCTGACTGCTGGCACTTCCGCCTGCACAGACATCCAACCACCTACTCGCATCCCTGCCCAGTGAGGAATGGGCCTGATAAAACAGAAAGGCGGGCCGGATGTGGCCTGCTGGACATAGTTTGGAGACCCCTGATATAGAGGAATCGAAGGAAAATAAGGACGAAAGTTCACAAAAGTTGCTGAGCAGCCTTTTAAAAAGAGAATTTAATCATTACTAAATCTAAGTGTAGAGAACTTTTATGCAGGCAGCCATGCTGGTCTCTGAGAAAATAAAATCCATAGTTAAGCATTAACTTTAGCAGAAACAAAATAAACGCAACAAAGTCTGCAAGCTTTCAAGCTCTCTAGAATTCTTCATCAGACTAAGTGCTACAAAGAAATGAACAATGAGAAACGTTGTGTAAAAGGATTACTCTGTATGTCACTATCAGTTCTCTCATATGAAATCCAAATGTAAGGATTCTTAGCTGGGTATGTTTTGAACATGAAAGCCAACAAAATATTATAAATAAAAATGGCTGCTACTATATTTGCCCAGGAAACCTGAATATTCATTTCTTGCCTATATGAACATTTTGATATTTAAAAGTATTTGCCAGTTGTTTCTCAGGTACATATAGGAGGAAAACTAGGGAAATTTTACTTTCCCCGGAACACAAAAGCAACTATATCTGTGAAGATTCTCAGTCATCCAGGTGATGTTATCTGAAAGTTGAGTCATAGCAACTTAATAGGTTGAAATGTTTAACTACTTATCCAAGTAGCTTCTTCAGCAACTAGTGCATAGATCAGATCCTAGACTGGAATATTAACTTTTTGTCCCTGCTGTGTTCTCAACCTGGACTGTGTCCTCCCATATCTACAATTTTTAAGGTAGGGGGACAGCATTCACATCTACTCTGCCCACTAAAAGCAAGATCTTGTCACACACACTTTTTGTATATTTAAAGAAGTAACTTTTTCAAATTCTGCAGAAAATGCACTGTCACATACAGCACTGATGGTACCTGTCTGTCATGGGTTTGGAGGGAAAGTTCCATCCTATGGGGAGTGGAAGGCGGGACATCAGGGGGGAGGAGCTGTACTGTATATATATATTTGGAGCTTGTGTGGAGAAGTTGAGAAGCTGGAGTGGGAGTCTGTGTGTCAGACTGAGTACAACTGTGTGTCAGTTAGTACATACCTGATAGGTTCAGGTTTCTTTATAGGTAGCCAGAACTGATAGGTTCAGGGTCTGTGCTTTACTTTAAAGTGTTCTGTGTGAACCAATCTGATGTATGTATGATTGAGTCTAAGCCACGTTACAGTATCTTATTTACTTGATCTTTTTATTTACCCTGTTTTTTATTTAAATAAACCTTGTTCTTTTATTTGTTAAAAATCCATTCCTGGTCTGTGTGACTCCTTACAGGGAATGGTTGGTGGCAGCTTAATTATAGGGTGGTATACTCCAGTAGGTCTGGGGTTGTCACAGCACCAAATCACTTCCATGAATATTTCACTCATTCACACCCGTTTACAGACAAACTTCAATTATTTGGAAGGCAAATTCTTCTGGAAATGCTATTATCACTATTTAAATTGCTGATATTGTGCTCTCCTTTGGCTAAATTCAAAGTGGCTTATAAAAACACTAGGTTTAAAATATTGCTGCCAGATGGCAAGTTGGTAAATGGGAAAACAACAGCCATATTGGACTTGATTCTGGATGAGTGTACTAACCTCACTTGTATTACACAGACCAAGCTGGATGAAGCTGTGAGAATTAAACTCACTTGGTTTTTCCCTAATGCTTAGGTCTCAGTGGTGGCTAGATGTGTATTCCCACAGTTAAAACTAGTGTGCCAGCTGTGCCCATTCCTAGAGATGTCTGATCTGGCCCCAGTGACACATGCTTTGGTTACATCCTATTTGCACTACTGTAATATGTTCTACATGGAGCTGACTTTAGTAATTTTCAGGTAGGCCTGGAACAAAATGAAAAGCAATATCGACTTTTAAAAATACTGTACACATGACACATTCTTATGGTGGATCCCTGTTTAGCTTAATAATTTGTAATTGCTAACCATTTTTTGTTTAATCATTAACTATCACTAATAGGTGATCTTCAAAGGAATATGGACAATTTGCCTGAAACAAACAAAAGCTGAAATTAAAAAGCCCTAAAATGTTTTCTAGTTTAACTTAATATTTTATACAGACAGTTGAGATTTCCTTTTAAATTTCTCTAATCCTTGCATACAGAGTAGGCAGTATTTAACAACTGATGCTTTTGTCAAACCATGTTCAAAGGCATGACGTTAGCTTTTACAAAACCCCTCTTTCTACCATTTATAATTAACTGGAACTCACTTATTTTTAAGTTTACTTTCTGAATTAACACTAAACATAGCTGACTGACTAGTTCAATTCAGATCTGCCTAGTGGTAAATGCAAAGGCTTGAGGATATGCAGTTATAAACTCCAGTCAGCCAAAATCATCAGTTATGAAACAAAATACATGTTTAATGATGTCCAGAGGATAGGACTAACTGGAGCATACATTATTGATTAAACAGAGGCCCTGCATGCCTGCCTCCCTTTTAGCGCATAATACCATAAACATCGGTTTGTTACTGGTAAAAAGCCCTCAAAGCAGATTTTCAGTGTTTCCCTTTCCATCTATGAACACAACAGATAAACTATAGAGTCAAGAGGGCGAAGTGCTCAAGAGGTCCATTACTTCTGCAGGCCCTTTTTGAAGTTGAAGAGATTAACGAAACATCATATGACACCCTTTCCTTAGCGCTACAGGATGACCTACCCACGGCATGCTATTATAAAAATAAAATACCAGCAGAAAAACAAGGAGAGTCCATGTCCTCCAGTAGGCAGTGTCTGTCCGAGCAGTTTTGTGGAACCACAACACAAACAGGAAAGAAAGTGTATTGATTTGCCAGTGCATTCATATCTTATGTACAATAATGCATGAGAATGTAAGTTAGAAAACACTGTTTGTTCAGGAACAAAAGGGCAACCCTAGGTTAATGTGACTTTGCTCTTCTGATGTAAAACATCACTGAAGAGTAAGTAATCCCAAAGAGGGATTACAGTATGTGGGTCGAAGTGTTGGTCTGCTTACTGAAGGTAAAGTAATATTCGTTTTGCTACAGCAAACTCCTGGTTTATTAACACTGGTGAAGTTACTAACCAATGGTATAATACATAAGATTTCTGAGGGGATTTCTTTAGTGTGTCTCATTATAAGCAAAATATTCCTCCTGCGCAAGCCACAGTTCATTTTGATTAAATTCAAGCAGTCTAGCCTGGCTATTAATTGACTATTTTTGATGAGAACCAGTATTCTGTTAGAGCAAGCTATAGTTCTGGGAAAGGTTCAGTCATTCAACTCATAAGCCAAGGCAGAGAAGAGAAAGAGTGAATATGGCTGGATAAAACTAAGTCATTTAAGAGATATTATCATTTTTTTAAAAAAAGACAAATTGGACCAGTAATGATATTTTATATTCCACCTTAAGCTACATTCACAACATCAATTCTTATGCATGGCTCCTTTCTGGTTCTGATGAAACAACATTATATAGAAATGTTTTAACTGATTCTAACTGAAATATATAAGTCTTGTATACAGTATGTACACTGATATCATATAATTGGTATTCACAGAAGCATCTAGATTTACTGCCTGTGTCCCTTTTTTAACCGCAAAACATGGTTCTGGAAATGGACTGGATACAAATTTCTTTTTAAACATCAAATTCCTTTGCTTACCAAGTAATCTTTTACTGGGGATGTGAGTGTGTTTCTGCAACACAAAATTCATAAAGCTGAATCTCTAATATTTGTAAATTATGAAAAATGATGTGACCTATTTATTCAAGAGGCTAGCCTATCTTATGTTTCACAACCCATATTCTACCTACATATCACAATCTTCTAAATATGTATTGATTTTACATTTCACAAAACGTTCTCAAAATGAGCTGTACTTTCATAAGTACTCTTGCATATAAGTGCATCTTAAAGGCTTTGCCGTGTATCTACTCCTCATGACTAGATTTTGGAAAGTAGTCAGGCAACATGGATTCAGTGTCATTCCCCCAATATGAGGGCTGCTGCCCTTACATGCTGTGACCACTAACTGCACAAGTGGGTGGCTGACTGTTCTTCTTACTCCAAAGGTGTGAACCTTGAATCATAAGAAAGCACCTTGGTGCCAAAGTATCAGGTATATAGAAGTGAATCGTGTGTGCAAGTGATGTACTAATGCAAGGAGAAAATAAGTGCTATCTAGTCATGTATTTTCCCCTTCATTGATTGCTGCCTTGTCGTGGCGAAGGGGCTTGAATAATTTAGAGAAGCTAGGGGCTATGCCGTGCCGGGACATCCAAAACGGACAGGTCATAGAGAGTTCTGACTAAACGCAATCAACTTGGAGCAGGAACTGACAAGCCACTCTAGTATCTTTCCCAAGACAACTCAATGGACAGAAACAAAAGGCTAAAAGATATGACACTGGAAGATGAGCCCCTCAGGT